CTAGGGTTTCTGAGAAGCAACCGGTGAGTTTGAACGTCTGACCTGGTGGTTCAAACCGGCCTTGCAGTCCAGTGCTATTCCTACAGCACCACAAGAGAGTAAAAAAGGGGAACTTGAAATGCTAGTAAATGCATCCATCATTAATGTGGGCAATCATGAGGTCAGAACTGGGCAGAGAGGGAGGAATTGAGAGCTGAAATTTATGAGGAGGAGGTAAATCAGATTTGTGAAAGTCTAGGGTGGGTAAAATGTGTAGTTACTGGAAATACAATCAGTGGCATGTGTTGGGGTGTTAAAGGTTTTGAAATGCAGAACTGGGTGATGACATGGTCCCAGCAGTGGTCAAATAAAGGGCCACATAAGGAATGGAGATGAAGTTAGCCAAACGCAGAAGTGGTCAGAGGAGTGAGATCAGAGTAAAAGGCAGTTACTCTTACAAATATGGAGACAGCCTAGGCCTGTTGGATCCTGGAATCCCTTAAGTAGAGGCAGTAATGGTTATTCAAGGCATAACTAGGTAGAAAGAGAAATCTTGGGCTCAGAAAGGGATGGAACCAGGAGGAACAAAAAGTGCTACATGGACTGGCCTTCGAGATTCAGCAGGCACTGCGTTCAAGGGAACATACTTTTAGAATTGTTGGCAGCAGGATGAATCAATATGCTGGCAACATAGTGTGGCCTCTCAGATATCTGTGTGATGATAGCAAGGACATTCTACTAGATGGAGTGTACATTTGGATATCTTTGAACTTAGACTCTCAATTTCTTAACACTAGTAACCTGTCTTTCTCGTTTTTAAATTCTGAGTGTTTAATGTTGTGCCTGGCACATGGTAAATGGTCAGTAAAATGGTTTTCCAGATGAATGAATGAAAGCTATTAAGCAAGTACATGCCTTAGTTGGAACTTTGAAGTGAGAGTTCGATGAGAGAGAGAGGGAGAGATGCTAGTCATTGCTCACCTTGTCTGAATGCTTGTTAATATGTTTACATTGGGGGGTCTTCTGAAAATTCTGAGTGAGTTATGTTAGACATAAGACAGAGGTGAAAATGCAATTGTCACCTGAAAGTAGAGTAAAAGAAATAATAAGGATTTTACCTTCCTCTGCTAGAACACTGAATGTTTAGTATCTCTAGCTTAGCCTCTGCTCTCTTCAAACTCTTTCAAGTATTGTCATTTTTGCTCATGATTTGAATAATCACTTCTGTTGTTGTTGCCATTGGGATGATATTGACTCATACCAACCTTATGCGTAACATAATGAAACACTGTCCTGTCTTGCTCCAACCTCACAATTGCTACCCTATAGCCCATTGCAACTGCCACTAAGCCAATCCATCTTGTTGGGGGTCTTCCTCTTTTTTGTTGACCCTATGCAAGGTCTCTCTGGTAGCGTAGTGGTTACAAATTGGGCTGCTCTGGTAGCGTAGTGGTTACAAAGTGGTTACAAGGTCAACAGTTTGAAACTACCAACTGTTCCGCCGGAGAAAGATGAGGCGTTCTGCTCCCCTAAAGATTTATAGCCTTAGAAACCCTGTACAGGGTCGCAATGAGTTGGAACCGACTCCACGGCACATAACAACAACAATGCAAGGTCGCTATGAGTCAAAACCGACTCCACGGTACATAACCACCACCACGACCACCATCTTCAATTCCTACAAGTAGGATGCACCAGAGTTCCTGAATCTCAACGTGCGCAAACAGAATCCAAGCTGCTCCACTGCAGTTCTCTTCCGTTGTTTCTTTTCACAGTGCTTAACACCCCTGAAAGCCCAGAACCTGGTCATCAATCTTCATGCCTCCCCTTTCTTCATCATCCTTATCGAATCTACCACCAAATCTTGTCAATTTTAAGATAAGGTAATTTTTGAGTCCTTCCTGCGCTCTCCATTATCAAAGCCACCCCCCAGGCCTGGAATTCTAAGATACTCACCTAACTGGTCTACATGTGCCACTTCACTCAATAAGTCACTTGCCATTGAGTTGCCTCGGACTCATAAAGACTCTGTGTACTCCATAGGGTTTTCAATGACTGTTTCTCAGAAGTTGATCACCAAGCCTTTCTTTCAAGATACAGCTGGATGGGCTCAAACCTCCCACCTTTCAGTTAGCAGTTGATTGTGCTAACTGCAAACCACAAAGTCAGCAGTTCAAATCTACCAGCTGCTCCTTGGAAATCTTATATGGGGTAACTGTGTCAGAACTGACTCCATGGCACTTAACAACACCAACATGCTAGCCATTATACCACCCAGGAAATCTCATGCTTAACTCTAGGCCTCTTCTGATCCCCTGTCCATCTTCAAGTCAGGATGAATTTTCATAAGTCATACCTGATTGTGTCCATCTTCCTGCTTAAATCACTTCAATGACTTATCATTGCTTTTAGTCCTAAAAGAGCACCTGAGGCTCAGAACGGGCTGAGCCCTGCCCACTGCTTCAATTGTCTCATTTTGCACTTTCTTGGGGAGCCAGTCACACTAGGTTTCTTTTATTCCATGATAGGCAGGCACCATGCTGTCCCCGCTCCTCCTCCCAAGACCTTCATACACACTTCACATGGTAACTTCCAAGCTTCCCTCTGATCTCAGCTCAGACCTGACTTCATTGGAGAAGACATCAAAGATCTCTGACAAGATTAAGATCTGCTGATATATTCTCTCTTTACAGTGTGGCCCCCTCCTTATAGCACACGTCTTAGTTGTGATGCTATATTGTTGTATCTGTGATGACTTTACAGATATTTGTCTTCCTCACTAAACTCTAAACTCTGTCAAGGATGAGAACCCTGTGTGCTTTTGCTCAGTGCATAATGAGTAGGCCATAAATACTTGTCAGATGAGTGAATGAAGAGACCAAAGAACACCTTTGTTTGGTATTAGTTGAAGTCACAATACTAAAGTCCTGTTTCTCTGGTCTAGCCACTGGGACTTGGGAAAAGTGTGGTCATAGGTATCTCTTCTAGACAATGGAATCCATGATAAGTTAATCTGTTGTTGAAGCCATAATGCTGCATTCTTGTCTCAGTTCTGCAATCCTTGCCCTTGGGCAAGTCATAACTTCTTTCAATTTAAGCTCAAAATCTCACCTGCAGATTAGGACTCTCCTTTTGCCCTTGGACTATGCAGCTATTTTCTTCACATCTTCTCCACCCTTCCTTCCTGCTTACCTCCTCAGCTGGGAATGGTGGCCTCCTGCAAAGGTAGGGGAGGACCAGGAATGGAGCTGGCTTCTCTGTGGGAGGGTTGAAGGAAGAACCCAGCGTGGCTGCTAAGATTCAGATACTACTACTGGATTCTATTTTTTCAAACTACCTTTGAAAACAAGGCTTAAGTATTTGATTTGACAAATACCTAGCCCCAAGTACAGTTTGTTGCCTGAGAGGATGTTAATTCATCAAATTTAAGAAGTGTATAACCTAAAACTGTGGTGAGGCCATTTACTCCCTCTTTCTTGATTAATTGGGGTGATAAGTAGCTTAATTGAATATCCTCGATTAGGTAATTGATCCCTCATTTTTGTGTGATTTGGATGGCATGTATTCAGTCATTCTCTCTTTAATTCAAAGGGATGCTTTCAGTATAGCATTTTAGTTGCTGCTGCTTAGTTTAGATGCATTTTGCTTAAATTATTGTTGTTGTTGTTAAGTACTGCGGAGTCGGTTCCGACTCTTAGTGACCCTGCACAGGGTTTCCAAGACTGTAAATCTTTACAGGAGCAGAACGCCTCATCTTTCTCCTGAGGAACCGCTGGTAGTTTCGAACTGCTGACCTTGAGGTTAGTAGCTCGATTCGTAACCACTACGCTACCAGAGCTCTTTTTTGCCTAAATAGTGCCTGGTAAATGAAGCAGGAGATCCAAAAGTTGTGCAAATGGTTAAGCACTTGACTACCAACCAAAAGCATGGTGGTTCGAACCCACCCAAGGACACTCTGAAGACAAGTCTACTCTACACTTATGGGGTCACTATGAGTTGGAACCAACTTAACAACAGCAAGGAGTCCTGGTGTGGCAGTGTACGATAAGCAATGGACTTCTGTGTCAGTTTGAGTCTCAAGTTCAGTAGTTCAAACATACCATTCCTCAGAAACCCTGTACGGGTTCGCTTGAGTCAGAACTGATTCGACAGTACTTAACAACAACAACAAATGAAGAGGAGTAACTTGGTTTTCAAAGTGGAATGCTTCTTCAAAAGAAAGATGTATCTTGCAATTCAAGAAGTCATCTTCTCCATCTTGCTGAGTCTTGGATCCCAAACTCTCCTCAGCTGATGATATCCAGTTTCAATAACCAAGAAAGAGCTTCCATCCTGTCGTACAGACTTGGCCACGGTCTCATTATATATTATTTTCTCCATCTCTAAAATGGAATACAGTGGATCTTATAAGTTTCAGGATGGTGTTAGGAAGTCACTGAAATGATCCTGGAAGAAAAGGAGAGTGATACATCTTATAAAATAGCACACTTATATTTTCTAGTTTGCAAACATTTAGAAAAGGTTGTTTTGCATAGACATATATGAATTTGATTTGACAATTCTAAACTACACCCCCCCCCAAAAAAAAAAAAATCAGAAACCTACAGTTGTGCAACATGTAAAATCTCTTCTGGACCGGGGCCCATCGTCACTGTGGTTTGGCAACACAGCACAACATCTCTTTCCTCATCTCTTAAAAAAAAAAAAAAAAACAGGAGAAAAAAATGTCCTGAGAATAAAGGTAATGATTAAACTGTTGGACACAAAAAGGCAAGTTTTGGAGATTTCAGGCTCTAACTCTCTAATTCAAACAAACAACAGCAGAACAGGGAATGACAGTTTCCCCAGAAGAGGATTAAGTCACAGCACCTAATTGGAAGGACAGCACTTGTACACTCAGACGGACTCACAAGACATCTCTAGGTATCTGTCATCAGTGGTCCAAATAACCATTTCCACGTGCGAGTGAAGGTGACAAGCAGATACTGGAGGAAGAGAGCAGTCCAGGGAGAAGCCCCAAGATGCCGTCTGAGAAGGGACAGAGGAAGAGTTTCAAGCAGAGACTGGTCTTGAAGAGCAACTTGGTTAAAGAAACACTCTCTGAGTTCTTGGGCACATTTATAATGATTGTAAGTATTTTCTGATTTCTTGAATTCTGACTGAATTCACACTTTCCTGCCTAGCTCAAGGTGGAGAGTTTTACTTTTATTTTGATTTGAAGTTAATTATTCAATTAATCTCTATAGGAAACAATAGCTCTCTTCTAGACTGTTGGTTATTTTAGTGGTCACAATATTATGTTTTCATCTATTTATTTCATTTATTCACAAAGGTTCGTGGGGGTAGGCTGAGAGGGAGTGAAGTACCTTCTTTGTTTCAGGGACTTACTTAGTCTCTAAAATGGTTTTGTGATTTAAAAGTCAGTCCTTTGAAATTTTTTTATTGATTAGTTGATTCATAACCTGCTCACTCTTACAACAATTGGCAGTCAATAAATATGGATGGCAAGAAACAAGCCCATTACTACAAGTGCTTGGCAAAGATTGTGTTGTGAGATCACTTGACTTTTAATCAATTAGAAATTGTGGTAGGCAGAAATAATGTATACAGCTTCGGTTTTGTGTCATTCCGCCCCCCTTCTACCACCACCAAATTTAAGCTAATCTCTAAAGATCTTTAATTAGACAGTTATAAGAACTCTGTAGGTTTAAATGACGGGCCAATTCTAAGACTCGCTTGAGGATTTTTTCCAGAGATGTTCTCAGTTATTATAAAGGACTGTGCAGTGTTGTTCACGGCACAGGTTTTCATCTTGCTGCGTGTTCTAACGTTCTCTGAAATTCTTAGCTGGAACAGAATTTGCAAACAAAAAATTGTATGTTTAGTAATTATTGTCCAGTGTGGCAACTTTTGATTTTAACTCGCTTAAAAAAAAAAAGTCTCAAATATGTATATATGTTTATTCCAGGTATATATAATTTCATTTTTCTTAAGTTATAAGAAAATTCTGTGCTTTGGGTAAATGTGTAATCGTTTGAAAAAAAATGCAGTAAGTTTAGAATATATCATCTAAGCCAAAATTGATAGACTAATGAACTCACCAAACTGAATTAGTTTAAAATGCAAGAGTCTACAGTTTTATAATCTCTGAGAGCCTCTTTTTTTCTGATTCACTCAAATATTTTTAAGGGGTTATGGGCAGTTTTTCCACTCCTTGCCTTCTCTGAGCAGTGAGCCCTTGATGCAAGGATCTTTACCACATACCGTAGGTGGAGGGAGGTAGAAGAAAAGTCAGTCAGTGACTCTTTTGCTAACACTCATTGTTTACTGGGAAAACAACCTCAGTAAGAGACCCTTCATCATGTTGCTTAACAATTTCATCCCCAGGAGAGAATGATTGTCACCACTGAGTGATTTCTGTCACCAAATGACCTGCACTACAGAAAAGTGAAGTGCATTCAAAGACGTTCCTAGTGCTTTGCAGAAGGAAGTGAACTAAACATCTTTTTCGCAAACTGAAAAGTTAAAAACCTCTTGATTTCCTAACCAGAACCAGTGTATGACCCCATCCCTTCTGAGTTGAGAAGGTGAAAGTTATTTTCATCCATTCACTCTGCTACTTGCACAACTAGTAGTCAAGGTGGGTGCTAAAGGAATAATTGTTGTTGTTGTTAAGTGCCGTCGAGTCGGTTCCGACCCATAGCGACCCTGTACAGGGTTTCCGAGGCTGTAAATCTTCACGGGAGCAGAATGCCTCCTCTTTCTCCTGTGGAGCAGCTGGTAGTTTCGAAGTGCTGGCCTTAAGTTTCACAGCCGGTTTCGTAACCACTACGCTACCAGAGCTCCTTAAAGGAACAATATCTTAATAATTTATATGGAAAAATTAAATCTCGTATCTCCTGACTAAAGCCAACTATTTCTTGAAAGCTTTCCTTTCTATTTATACTGTACATTTATTTTCTAAAATGAACCTGGATGGAATTTATTGTTCTGATTTTGTTAAGACAAGTTTCTGCCCAACCCAAAGATATTTTAAATCAATAAATCTGTAGAGCTTAAATCTGTAAAGCCACACAAAGTAACTTTCTACTTTACTGGAAATGTGCCTTTTGTTTTGCATTCTAATAAAAACCTTTGCATGCTGATAAAATGGCAGGTAGGAGATGGGAGGGGAGGACAGTAAACATTAAAATGAGGGTAGAAAATATATCGTCCTTTAAACCCGATTCCCTGGGAGTTTGGTACCATTTTTCTCTTTTTTACTAAAAATGCTCTTAAGGAAACCATCTCAAACTCATTCATACCAAGGTGTAAATGACTGATCAGGCCTATTGGTAAGGGAAAAGAAGGACATGAAAAATTCTTTGTAATTTTATAAGTAATAACAATAACACATAAGTCATAAGCCAAACAGCTAGCTCTAATTTGCCCTCCTAAGCACTGAGATAAGCAGGCTTCCCAGGTTGGCTCGTGTCTGGGAGATGCTGGTTGTTGCTCTTGCTAACTGCTGTCAAGTTGGACTCATGGGAAAGCTGTATAGGATACCCAAGGAGTGGCTGGTAGGTTTGAACCACCAACATTGTGGTTAGCAGTCCAGTGCTGATCCTACAGCACCACACCGGGACTCCTCACCATTTTTCCTATCACAGAAAAGCATGGGGCTGTCAGGGCAGAAAGCATTTATTGATTGAGTACCTACCACTTACTAGGTTTTTTAGATACCTTGAATTTTTACAACAGCTGCATTACGAAAGCTTGATTATCACCCACTCACCATCTGTTTGCCAATGTTGTGGCTGATATGTTAACTGTAAGACTGGAAGCTATAGTACCAATATTTCAAATACCAGCAGGTTCACCCTTGGTGGATAGGTTTTAATGGAGTTTCCAGACTAAAGTAGACTAGGAAGAAAGGCCTGGAATTCTACTTATGAAAATTATCCTCACTCACTGGTGTGGCACTGTAGGATAAGCACTGGATTACTAACTGCAAGGTCAGCAGTTCAAACCCATGCTTTTTGGAAATCCTGTTCAGGGTCACTATGAGTTGGAACTGACTTGATGATACTTACCAACAGCAACACCTGCTTTGGACACATCATCAGGAGGAATCAATGACTAGAGGAGGACATCATGCTTGGTGAAGTAAAGGGTCAGTGAGGATGTGGGAAACCCTCCGGGAGACGGATTGGAGCAATTGCTACCACAATGGGCCTGGACATGCCAGGGATCATGAGGATGACTCAGGAGGAGGCAGTGTTTAGTTCTTTGGACGTAAGAATCAATTCAAGGGCACCTGTATTTCCATCTGTCTATTATCACCCATAAAGATTAGAGAAATGCGGACTCAAAGAGGTGAATTAACTGACTAAAATGTGGGGAAACATAGAATTGGGATTCTTGTTAGCTCTAGACCCCCCTACTCTCTACATATTCTCACACCCATTTGGCAGTGTCCTTAATAGAGGGCAAATCAGACCCCCTCTGTTTCAGCATCTCTGTAGATTGGAATCCTGGCTTCCCTCTAATTTGCTGGTGGGCACACTGATGAAGCAAAACCATTAGATGCACAACAAGCAAGCCTCTTTACTTTCTTGGATGCAGGTGGACAGGTATAATGTGAAGGGTGGAGAACAGGAGACTGTTCAGACCTGGAATTTCAAACTGCAGAAGTTGCTTTAGCAGCTATCATAGAGACAATCCCTGCCTCTCCCCGCCGTTTAGAACTGACACCATCTACCTCCTGTCCTGTGATGTTACTTGACAACATTGTAATTTGGGGCAATGAATTCAACTTCATTGAGTCACAGTTTGCTCAAAGTGAAATAACACCTCATAGCATTTTTGTGGGAGTCTTGGTATGGTGCTGTAGGATAATGTACTGGACCGGTTTGAACCGCAAGGTGAGTGGTTCAAACTCACCAGCCACTCCTCGGAAACTCTATATGAGGTCACTATGAGTTAGAAGTGATTTGATGACCCTTAACTACAGCAAAAGCATTTTTTGTGACAATTTAATACAAATTAAGTGTATTTAAGGAAACACTCATTAAATGCTTGATCCTTTTTCTCTTTTTAGCCCCTTTCTTAGCGTAGTGGTTACGAATCGGGCTGCGAAACTTAAGGTCAGCGGTTCGAAACTACCAGCTGTTCCGCGGGAGAAAGATGAGGCTTTCTACTCCCGTAAAGATTTACACCCTCGGAAACCCTGTACAGGTCGCTATGGATCGGAACCGACTCGATGGCACTTAACAACAACAACTTTTATTTGAGGGTCCTTCTAGTATCCGAAAATAGCTACTTTGTCTGTTCTGGTCATCTGACAGATACCTTTTCCCAGCTCCTGCCACCGACCTACGCATATATATAAAAGAGACTCTATTAATGTGTGTTCTAGAGTCCCTGGATTGGTGAAAATGGTTAGTACACTTGGTTAATAACCGAAAGGTTAAAAGTTCAGAGGTTTGAGTGTACCCAAAGGCATCTTGGAAGAAAGACCTGGCAACTTTTTTTTCTGAAAAAATGAGCTATTGAAACCTATGGAGCACAGTTCTAGTCTGACACACATGAGTCAAAATTAACACCAACTAGAAAATGTGTGTTGAATTCAAATCTCTTCCTTGGGTTAAACTTCCCAGGATCTCTAGCTATCCTCACTACTCTGTGTACGCTCTTCTCTCTTCAGACTTTTCAGCACTCTTTGATACAGAGTTCATCCTATTGAAGGTGCTGAGATGAACCACCATGTTTCTTCAACAGCCCTCCAGGGTTGTTCTTTGCTGTAGGTACATTTACTGGTGTAGAGAAGAAAACTCATTCTCACCTTACCAAGCTCCAGATTAGAGATCTGTCTTTTGGCATCTCCAAGAATGAAAAATGAAAATACTGCTGCCAAGAGTAATGCCCTAGATCTGTCTCCTGAAAGGAAAATAGAAAGGGCCAAAACCTGGGACAGAGGATATGGAGGGGATAGGCAAGCAGGCAGTACAGAAGAAAGGAAGGAAGTGGGCGGTATATAAGATATTTCAGGATTTCTTACTTGTGTTCTGCCTCCCTTCATGAACGAACTTCCTTCCTTACCAGTCACAGAGTTTCTCACTCTATTCTGGGAGGGTTTTTTATATGTGCT